TCGTCCCCACGCAGTGCCGAAAGACGGCTCACGTTGCTTTTCAGTCGCAGTTACCCAAAAGGGCGCTTTATTCAGCCCAAAACGCCCAGAAAGCACGCGCACGCCAGCCGTGTCCTTCACACGGGAAATTCTGCAGGCCTGGCTCAGCTGCTGACTGCGGCTTCTGTCTCGGTGGTTCAGCAATTGCGGGGAAAAGGGATCGGGGCGCACCTTCGCACCCCAGATCCGCCCCATCCTTAAGAGGATTTTCTTCCGCGGCCCAGACGCGAGCAGCAGGCAGGGACAAGCTTCACCGGCAGTGCCAGCACCTGCTGACAACGCACCACCCGCAGACGTAACGTCAGTAGTGGTGCACAATCCGTGAAAACACCCCCTCCGGCTCTTTTCCGTCCCCCAGGGCAGCACGGAAGCCCTCCTGTCTCCTCCTCTGGGCCAAGGCAGCGAGGGACTTGAACGTCTTCGGCTCATAAATGGCCAAGTCCGCGATCATTTTTCTGTTCAGCTCCACCTGAGACTGAAAAGAAAAACTGCTGTTTGACTACCGTAATTTTTAGGAACAACACTGCAACACCTAATGATTCTGAGGTCTTGGGGCAAATGTGCTGCACAGTTGTGGAAATATTAAGCAGGACGGTCAGATGTGCCTCCTCAGCGGGGGGCGTCTCCTTCAGCCAGGGTGTGACATGTTTACGGGATTTCTCCAAGCCTGGCAGACGCCAAGAGCGGAAGGAGAAATGTCCGATCTCACGGAAGGCCGTGTGTTACAGGTTAATCCGCGGCACTTCGTATGTGTGACTACACAACTATTCACGTCTACCTCTGCCAGAAGCTGCTGGGTACCCTCAAGCAGAGAAGGACAGACTGGAGGGTCAAACCCCCTTAAGGGCCCGAGGCGTTAGAGGGTTAACCGTCCCCTCCGAGGGGCAGGTAGTACATCAACAGTTTGCTGCTTGCTTTTAACAGAGCCTGAGACAAGTGACACGGCCCTGAGATCACAGGGACAGGCATCGTGAGGGGCAAAAAGGAAAAATTAAGTTAGCTTTCAGGCTGTGCTTCATTCTTTGGGTTACAGTGTCAGAGTAACCAGGAGAAAAAGTGTATAAACTTCAGGAAGGATATTACTTTACGGAAAACATGTCAGAAATGCTACAAAGTCATCTATTTATTGGAAACAGATTAAAAGTTTTGAAATACGCTACAAATTTAAGTGTAGTTCCACTTTAAGGGGACACGCTACCTTTTTATTAGTCACAGCCAGGAGAGACAGGTTTTAATTTCACAGTTCCAGTATCAGCAAATTAAAACCGGTGCTCCAGAGCAAGGGAGAGTGGCACCAGCCCTGCATTCTCCACGCTCACTGCAACGCAAGGCTACTGACACTCTCCCAGATTCGTTGTGTCAGTAATAATTCTCCAAGCACCATCCTTACCTTGAGCAGATTGCTTATGAAAGCAGGGTATTTCAAACCATGTTCGAGGGAAGCGGCTTCGATCCTAGTGATCCAGAGCTAAAAACATGAAAAATAACATCTTGGATAATAAAATACTTGAAAAATAAGCCTTTAGCATGCTGACTCGCTCACATTTAGCAAAGATAACATTGTCAGACTTAGGTATGTTGCACTGAGAAGACTGTCTGCATGAATTTCAGAACGTGAGCTGTTCCAGACTACAGCGGGACTAAGCTTACTTTAAACTCTTCTTTTTCACCCACCAGTGAAACATTTTGAGATCCCCCCAGCGAGGAAAATGACTATTTCGCTTCTGCTCTTCTCCCATTTTAAATTTTATGCCTAACATTTAGCTCCTTACCGCTCTTAGGAACCTCTTCTTCTCTCTTCTAGCCTTTGTAGACCTCACAAAAGCTCTCCGAACGCTTCGTACAGCCAGCTTATAGCAGCGGTTCTTCCTTCCCCGGAAGTGCTGAAACCAAAACAAGATGTTCAGTTAACTTTAAGGCTGTCAAACCCTTCAGTAACACTAACATATGCTCGTTTGCACCTCACAGCTCTTCATAACAAGGATCACAAAATACTTCAAACATCAGCTAAGCCTTCCGCTGACCTATTATGAAAATATTATTTCCTTGTTTTATAATTTGAGGGAAACCTGAAGCTGAAAAGTTGGAGCAGGCTGAAAAATTTCAGTCCAGCTGGAGGGAGCCAAAACCAGAGTTCATTCCAGGCTGTTGTTCCAAGGGGAAGGCAAGCACAAAATCATCTTCAGTGCTTTCCACCAGCCTCTGAACTCACACAGTTATTCTCGCTCCTGAGCTGCCCTCTGTCAGTGTGAATACAGGGGTGGGACAGGAGCCTCTGGTATGTCACGAACATTGCAGTTACCCCAACAGGAAGCATAATGAAAGAAGTTTACTGGAGTTACCACTGACATCCATCTAACCTGAGGAAGGAAGTAGTTAGTGCTGCACAGTCAGACAAATAAACGACTGGTACTGGAAGGCATACTACCACCCAGGATGCCAACAGTCCGCTCCCAAAAAGGTTTTTACTGAACCTAGGTACAATAGCTTGAACTCCAGTTGAAATCCTGCTGTGAAGCAGTCTCTCTCACCTTCTAAAACGCACTTGAAGAGCAAGGTTAAAATATTTTTTTCTCCCTGCTCCTTTGCCCAGTTAAAAAAAAAAACCAAACCAACCAAAACCCAAAACCACCTCACACACTCACAAATCACAGCCAACACCAGTGTACAGTGTGCTCTATTTACAGAATGCTCTTCCCGCAGTGCTTGTATTCCTTCCGCCACAGGGTTCTCACTTTTATTCGTACCCATCCACGGGCACACATGTGCTGTCTTAGGGCACAAATACCAGACGCGTTCACGGCCTCCAGATTTAATCAAATACAACTTCACACACACAGAAAGCGCTAAATTGACGTGAGCCAACTTGACAGACCCCCACGTTTCCAGGAACAAGCACCACTGCTGGGCAAGGGCTTGCGGAGACCTGAATACAGGCCGCTCGCTCCCTAGACCCGGGAAGGACGGAGCACCCCCGGGAGGGTCGAACTGCCGCCCGTGCCGCGGGGGCCACGCAGGGAGGCAGGCAGGGTGGCGGCGGGCACACTCACCCGGGCATACTTGAGCACCTCCTGCACCCTCCAGAAGCGGTCGGTAAGGCGGCTGCGGAGCCAGCACGGCGCGCTCAGCAGCACCATCTCCCCCGCCGGTTCGCGACAGAGCGCAGCGCCCCCCGACTTCCGGGGCGGGGACAGGAGGG